TATTGGCCAGGAGGCATAATATTTATCAATGCCAATATTTGCATCTGTTTGATAACTTCAAAGATTGCAAATTGTTTAAAAAAATTGCTACAGTTTTAAACTAATATATACTCATTATTAACTTGACAAGAAATAATTAGGACAAATTACATATACGTCACTCGAGATTTAGCTAAATTACACATATCCCTGAGCTTTCGAAAATTACAGATACTCCGTGAGATTTATATTTTCATAACAAATTACCTCCTGAGGTTTATATTTTCATAACAATTTGTCCCCTAATTTGTTAAGCAAATAATACCTTCAGGGAGTATCAGTAATTTTTCAAACCTCAGAGAATATCTGTAATTTTGCTAAATCTCGAAGGGGGTATATGTAATTTGCCCAAATAATAATAATAATAAAAAACTATTATGGCCAATGTTATGAAAGTCAATTCAATTGACTTCCATAACATTGGGTGGTGATGCTTTGTTTGAAGAGGGAATTCCAAGCCGTGTGGGAATCTCTAGATATATAGTGATCCTCATTTCATTGTCTAAGTAACACGAAAAAGAATTGCAAGGGTAGAATTTTAAACTAGGTTACGAGTTGAAACTTGCCAACAAAAAATCTCACACCTTGACAAAAGAAATAGTGTAATCAAGTGATAAATGCTAGCTAGTTCTATATCCTCCATATTGGTAGTTCTTATCCTTCTAATGCTTGCTTCAATTTACCAGAGGAAAGCTTCTTGTCAAAATTTTAACCAGTTGCCATTTTTTGTTTTCAAAACAATAGGGAGACTTGAGCTCTTGGCATCAAAGTTGAGAAACCAACTAGATATCACTTGACCGATGAAGTTAGGTTAATCAGTTAGCTGATAGCATGAGAGCTTAAGCTCATCAAAATGGGCTGGTTTGCAACATTTTGGTAATTGTAAATGTTCTACTATATGATACTCATAATATATGGTGAGTCTGTTGTGAGCTATAGGTCTTGGATGCTGTTTTTTTTTCCTCAAAACCAGAGTGTAATGTTTACCAATTGTATTTACTGCATGAACATGGAATGCAATATAGTTCCCTTCTAAACTGTAAATCTTTTTTTTTTTTTCGTTTTTGGTTGGGAGTTCAAAGCCATGTATTATATATATGAAAATTAAGCCCTGATCAACAATACTGTATATGATTTTTCAAGTGTTTGTACACTGCATGATCTTTCTATAGCAGACATGAACGGAGGCAATGAAATTTTCTACTCAGACAAACATCACTGGGAAAAACACACTTCTAAGTTTAAAAAAAGCCCCTTCATTGCACAAACATGTTTGCACGGTACTGTTTTCTCCAGCACATAAATCACAGTTAGCATGCTTGTTCACTTGCTCCTATCACTTGGGGGTGAAGGCCTGAAAAACACAACCATGAAAGAAGTTAAAACACACACTATTGATTAGTTCTGCTTTCATTATAGTATTTGTCTTGTTAATATGCTGAGTTGGTAATCCCAATTACTGAATAATTACTCGTCTCTTGTGTGCATGTATAAGAAATCAAGTATATATAGGTGAGAAATTCAGGTTCAGTCATAGCAATTGGTAGAACAGTGAGGTCTGGATGGACTTACAGCAAAAATGGTGGAATGACCAGGATCAGCAAGGTGTGCAAAGAGGTTGTCAATAGGTCCAGTCCCTGTGTAAATGGCTTGGAACCAAGCACCCATCACAGCCAACATAGCCAACCTCCCATTCTTGATCTCTTTTGTCCTCAACTCCCTGATCTTTTCCGGTGAACCGCTTCCCCACCCGAGTGGGTCAAACCATAGCCCACCCGGGTATCCAACATCAGTACCTGCAAAATCGTTTGGTCAAACTTAGATCATACAATCATAAAATCCTACGATTCAGATCAGGATTTTGATAACTATACCTGTAAGCTTCTTGTTGGGGAAGATGGGATCAGTGTTTACACAGCCCGGCTTGAGGATGTCAGCCCACCGCCTTCCCTCCGCCCAGCCAATGAAAATGAGCTCGATGATGAAGAGAGTGGTGGTGTCAGTGAAGTACTCTTGCTCGCCAGCAGTGTACCATGAAGGGGTGTTTAGAATCCGAGCTTTGTGAGGAATTCTGGGATGAAGATGCCAGCAGCGCCCAGCATTGCCCATCTGCAGTGCACTAGCTCTGCTTGTACATTCCATCTCAATGTCTCTGGATCAGATCTTGTTAGTAGTGGCTCAAAGCTTTTAGAGATCTCATATTAAATATCAAAATTAAGCCTTTGACAATTCAAGGTTCAAAGCCATTAATTTAGCTTTAGAGACTTACCAAGACCAAGTGGATCAAATCCAAAGTCTCCAGGGAGGCTGCATCACAAGGTTCAGCTACAACTTCAGTAACATAACAACTTCCTACATATATATACATATACATATACAGAGAGAGAGAGTGAGAGAGAGAGAGAGAGAGAGAGAGAGAGAGAGAGAGAGAACCTGCCGTCAAGCCAGGGAGGAGGGGTGTTGCCGGGGAACCAGAGTGGCCTATCAGGATCCGCTGCGACACAGACGGTAACCGATCCTGATGGTGTTCCAGCCGGTGCTGCATTCTTTCTGAGTCTCAGTTTCCTCCCTCCTGGAAAAGAAGCCTTTGTTGCTCCCACAATTGATCCACTCTTCTGGGAACTGTAATCATTACATTTGAACCTGATTTATTTGATTTCTTGCCAAATATGCACATTTGACAAGCATTGTGCAATGTATGTATGTTTATCCCACTTCACTAATAATCATAGTTACCAAATAATGTTGAATTTTAGTCAAAAGTTTATAAGTTGTTAAAGAGATGAGCTCAACAAATAGATTGAGGGAATAAGGTGTACAAAGACATGCAAAATCAAATGTACAATGAGCGCAAGAAAGGATTGAGAAGATTTGAATCCAAAATCTCTTAAAACATGAATTCTGATACAATGCTAAATTATCAATTATGTTAATAGTTACTAAAGACGAGATTTCGTAAAAGGGTTTGACTTCTCTCTAGTTAACTAAATTTTGACTCCTCTTACAACATAACTCATGGCTCCTTTGACAACTTGACATGAGTTAATTGGAGAGAAGCTGTGTAATTATTATTATTATTATTATTATTATTATAGTATGACTATGTCTCTATATATGTATGTATGCATAATGGATGTTGTGAGAACATACCTTGTGGAAGAGAGGCCAACAGCTGCAAAAGCTGAAGAAGCACAAACAGATGAGGCCATGTTGGCAGATTTTACTTTGAATGTGGTGAGTTTGATTGGTATGTGTAACGTGTATGACACTACTAGAAAAATTGTTTTTTGTGTCTGTTTTTTTGCGACTGATTACTTAGCCGTTGCAAAAAAAAATTATTTGCAATGGCAAATCAACTGAAGCAAATTAGGGATAGCAAAATTGTTTTGCCCAATTTATGTTTCCCATTTTCTTTTATTTATTTTCCTTTTTACTTAAACCTATGATAGAGGATATTCCTTACCCCAGATAAAAAGCTACCATCTCAAGGATTGCGTAAAACTTGCCCTAGACTCTCATTTCCAGAATCTGATTTCGCTCAATCAAGAGAATCTGATTTCCCTCTCTCGATTTCGCTCTCTGTTTCCTACTCGATAGATCGCCATGGTCGTACGAAGAAGAGACCTCCAACGGTATGAACTCTCTCTCTCTCTCGTCTCAGTTTCTCTTCGAATCATTCATTCGTATTTCAACTTCTTCGTCTCTTCGATCTCTTGATTCTTGTCATCTAAACTTGTTGTAATTCAATCACTTCTTCGTATTTCCCTCTCTCTCTCTCTCTCTCTCTCTCCCTCTCTCTCTCTATATATATATATGTACAAGATTCATGTATTTGTTTGTAGTTTTTTTTGTTTGAGTGTGAATTATTGCTGCATTTGGTGAATTTTGTTGTTTTGTGAGTTCAATATATAGCATTTGTGATTGAATGAGAAGTTTTGATTCATAGATTTGTTTCGAATTTGCTGTTTCATTGATTATCAGCAAGTTTGAATTTGTTGAGGCAAGAACTGGTAAATTTGAAATTGGAAGATAAAATGTCCTAGTGTTGAAATAAAATAAGACAGATATGAGAAGAATAAGAATAAATTAAAAAATATATGCTCACTTTTACTAACAAATACACAAATCTTCTAAAAAAACTTAATTTGTTCATCAGTTTTTTAATTGGATCATAAAGATAAAACTATTAGACATTGCTATAGGGAACTGAACTGAACAGGGATTGAGCTATCTGGCTAGTACTGCAGATGGACCATTGCAAGCATATTTACTGACAAAAACACAACAGACAAATAGCTTTGCTAGATATGTGTCAAGAATGTTGCACCCAATCAATTAGATGCTTAATTTGATATTTAGTAGTGTAACAAATGCAAAATATTTTGACATAATACCAGCATATGTTCATATTCTTCTTCTAGTGTAAGAGCTTTGCTAAATTAGAAAATTAGTCACTGTTCTAAAGCTCAAGTATCAAGAAAAACAGCTCCCCCCCTTCTCTCTCTCTCTCTCTCTCTCTCTCTCTCTCTCTCTCTAGTTGTGATGAAAAATAGAGATGGAGGAGTTTTTGTATACTGATATCAAATCTTTATGTGCAAAACTCAAGTATCAAGAAAAACAGCTCAAACACCTATACATGTTTAAGTTTTTGTAGAAACTTACAAATATTGGTGATAGGTAGTTTAATGCATACATTTATAGATTAATGCATAGTCATCAGTGTCACATAATTTACTAAGCAGTTTAATGTTAAGTCCTACTTATCACTAAAATGTATTCCAAGTGGTATGCAATATGAACCTTAATACATAACCTGATATTATTACAGGAAATATAGAACACGAAAGGTGTTAAGACTTGAGAGAACACGATCGACAACTAGAAAGCCTTTTCATGTGCTTCAATGAAAATAGCAGTCCATTTTTATTTATTTATTATTTTTTGCATGATCTGTTTTTGAAATTCTGCATCCCTTATGATTGAGACTTCCTGCAGGATGGCTAGCTAAAGCTGCAGAAACAAGTGATTCATATGTTCATGGAAGCTATCATATTTATGCTGTATTGGTTGGTTTATTTTCATCAATAACTGGTGGAATCAGCTACTGCCTTACAAGGGCTGGAGCAAAGGCATCTGATCAACCAGTGTAAGACCATCATTATTAGCATTCTTATTTGATCTTCATTATCAAAAAAGTCAGTGCAAGCTTCTAGTAATCATCAGAACAGTATGTATTGCTACAATTTCTGACCAACAATTGTAGTATATATTATTTCCTAGTGTCCTGTTACTAAAGTTGAAATGGATAAAGAGCCATACAATATGAGTAGACATTTTTTTTTTTGATCGGCAATATTAGTAGACATCCTTGTGGTAGTATTTTCGTCTTTCATTCTTTCTGCTGTATTGTTAAAACTACTGCAATGGGAATGTCAGATGATCTAGTTGGGATTGTTCTAGTATGTTGTTTACTAGGTAATGAAGACTGCAAAAATGTTGAATAGTTGTTAGGACACAATTTATGTAATTTTCGATATATAATTTTTTTAACTATGTAATTTTCAATGCTACTGTGAAATGATGAAGTTATGTATTTTAATGTCTGGTAAATCTTAATTAAATTGTTGCAGTCATGTTTACCTTAGCACACTTCCTGTCCTCTTTCAGGGTCACAGTTTTTTCATTTGGAGTGCTTGCTAGCCCTGCTTCAATAATATGTACATTTGCTTTTGAGGTAAGTTCATGCTATGGCCAATCTAATTTTATTAAACACAAGGACATGTTTAGATATCCACTGACTCTAGGTAGTTTACATCACTGATTGCCTAATAATTGAGTGTTTTGTTATGTTGAATTCAATGGAGACGTTTCTTAAGGTATGAAATCAAATCATTCTCTTAGTGGCCTCAAACCCTGCTTTGCCTTGCGTTTCACATAGTCTATTGTTTCAACATTTTATTCCCACCTGTGCATGTCAAATATTTATTGCATTACATCTTACCCAGTATTGACATCTCGGGCTTTATACAGAGGTCGCGCACAATCAGACCTCAAAAAACTAATATGGAATTTCAAATCTATGATCACTCTAAGGTCATGTAATTTAATTGCACATGGAAATTGATATAAAAGTCAATAGATATAAATATAAATTGACAAGTGTTTGTTGACCACAAGACCCTTATCAAAACTGTATGTTTCAAGAAGGTTTAAGAAATGAATGTGGATGCTATTATTTGAAAGCTAATATCCATGCAGATTATCTTTAGAGTGAGTGACCTAATTTTGGGAAGTTGTATTAACAATTGTACTAGAAAGCAACACCAAATTAACTTAGACCTTTGCCAGAGGAAAGGGGAAATATTTAAATACCTTCCTACTATTAAATTTCTAGGATATTTTCTTTATGCTGGTGTTCCAATAATTAGTATTAGTTTTTCTATCCTTTGTCATTCAATACAGGCATAATGCTAAGAGAATGTTTGTGATTTGTTGAAATTAAAGGTGTTGCTGGTGGGACTGCATCTGGAAAAACAACAGTTTCCAATATGATTGTTTTGCAACTCCGTGATCAACAGATTGTTCTTGTCAGTCAAGTATTTTCCTGGCTCTCTTCCGGCTGTTAAGTACTAATAAAACCAGTAGTTACTACTGCACATATATTACAAACTTGAGTGATGTGATTTGCTTAAGACATCTGTTCTTACTGTCTATCATCTCAATCTAATGAATCTGCTTTGTATTCTTGAGCTTGTGAATTTTAACTATTTAGCCTAACTATCATCTGTCAAAATTTAAAATGAATTTATAGATATTATATAGATTGTTGTTGCTATTTTAAAGAATTCTTGAGCTCTATTGTTTCCCGGGTTAATACTTGAGCTACTTTGCTCTCTCTCTCTCTCTCTCTCTCTTAGACCTCGTTTGGCAAGAGGCTATTTTAGCCAATTAGCCAAAAAGTTACTAAATTAGCCAAAAAGCCAACAACCCATACCAAAAAGTCAAAGATTCTCTTTTCTCTCTACTTTTTGCACATCTTTTCGTAATTAGCCAAAAAATCATCCCAAACATATAAGTTTTTTTTACCTACCTTTTTAGCCAAATAGACAAAAAGTTACTAAATTAACTTGTTCCCAAACGAGGCCTTAAAGTAGATTTCTCTTAAAGCAGATGACGAAATCAGAAGATGTCTATAATCTCAAGAGTTGCTGCTCTTCTTCCGACTCTGTAACAAGACTATGAAGGATTCTTAGAATCAGAACTACTGTAACCTCAAATGTTCTTTGTAATTGCAAGAGATAAAAAACCTTTGTAGGATTCTTTCAAGAACTCCTTGTTATTGTTGCATACTTTTTTTTTTTGAAGAGAATTTTATTGAGGGAAGAAATGGAAAATAATGCATGAATGTTGAGATTTTTGCAAATATATCTTTACGTTTATTGTATATAATATTTGAATATATATATGATTGTAAGTTTTTTTTTTTTTTTTTTTTTTTTTTTTTTTTTTTTTTTTTTTTTGCGACAGTAAGAAGATGGTCGCTAATACATTGTAGGCCTTTTTTAAACTCTTTTGCGACGGCAAAATATCAGTCACTATAAGCAGGTTAGACGGTCGCAAATAGTTTGCGACTGCTATTTTGCGGTCGCAAAAAGTATTTGCCACTCCCACATTCGCGACCCTCATTTTCCGTCGCATGGGCCGTCGCAAAAAGTCTTTTGCAACTATTTTTTTATTATTTGTGACAACTTGTAGCGGTCGTAAAAAGTACTTTTTTTAGTAATGTGACAAGTAAGGATAATATTGGCAAACATGTTAATCTCTATGAAAAGGCTTATCTGAAAGGATAGGTGATTGGATGTCACATTGGCTTCTGAGTTGCCACGTGGCATGCAAAAATCTTGTTATCAAGAGTCTTTTGCGACTGTTTTTTTATTATTTGTGACAGCTTGTAGCGGTCGCAAAAAGTACTTTTTTTAGTAATGTGACAAGTAAGGATAATATTGGCAAACATGTTAATCTCTATGAAAAGGCTTATCTGAAAGGATAGGTGATTGGATGTCACATTGGCTTCTGAGTTGCCACGTGGCATGCAAAAATCTTGTTATCAAGCCTCCACCTCCCACCTTTCTCTTGCTCAACTGTAAAAATCAGAATCTGGTGGTTCACAATTGTATGCCTCTATTGCTGCATATTCTCTACTGTCACCTTCAAACTCTTTCTTGATCAATGTGAGAGAGTAAGTTGCACTACATTATTATTATTATTATTATTATTATTATTATTATTTTGAACAAGAAGTTGCACTACATTCACAGGTGGAGTTTTGTCTTTTGACCAATTATGGAATATCTAATATATATGCTTCGACTATTTTTGTTTTGGATACAATGCGTTTCGTGTCACTCTATTTATATTTAACTCTACTAAGTTATATTTAATTTTTAATTTTTAATTTTATTAATTTTATTCTTAAATTCTTTTAATTTAAGTTAGATTGGTCAAATTTTAAATAGGTCACTTAAATCATTAAGATAATGATATTAAAAAATACTTTATCCCTCTAAAATATGTATTTTGAGTCATTTTAGTCTGCAAAATTTGTTAATTTTGTTTCCAAAACACAAGACCATGTTTGGATGTTCAAAATGGAGAATGAAAATTTCAATAATATCTTTTTGAGAGACATAAAATATCATTTTTTATTTTTTATTTTAAGGATCAACCATTTCTAAGCTTGTGAGTTCCGTATTTTACCCCCATAAATAAATAAATATTTGTAATTGAGGCCCAACGAAACAGGCTTAGTGGACTGGGCTTATTGTGAATGAATGAAAGAAAAAGTTGAATTTAAAAAGGACTGGCTATGCGTAGTTTCCGTTCACGGCCCATAGTTTACTTATTCATTTGCTTACTACACGATTGATGGCTTTTTACAAATTAATTATGGTTAGATTTTAATTATTAAATTTGATCTAATATTTTTCATAATTGGAAAAAAATAAATAAAAATCAAAAGCTTTCCATTCGGCCATGGCCTTATACACACCCACTTTGCACATAATGTGGTAGTAGGATTATAAAACAAGCCAAAATATTTAATTTCCACTTAGGTTCAACTTTTTAAAAACTAAACATAGTAAGTTTGAATATGTTTTGAAACTATTAGTTTATTTTTCTTACGGAAAAAAAAATAGCATAAATGCGAGCGTACTAATAAAAATTAAAAAATCCTTACAGATTTAATTCAAGCAAATTATCAAGTGATTGTGTTGATGATTCTTTTGTCTCAATGAAAAAGACTTCAAAATTGGCAAGTATAGAGAAAAGGAAAATTAAAAGAAGAAGGAGGGAAACGGAGAAAGATGATTGAGTGAATAATCGGGGTGATTGAGTGAACAATCAAAGTAATAATTAATTACGTTTACTCCTATGCTTTGAAAAAGAAGTGTATAAAATTACCCCTACTCCTGTACTTCGAAAAAGAAGTGTTGAAAGTAAAGTGCAGAAAATATAAATGACAAAAAAATAAAATAGAAATCAATTGTCTTTAATTTGAGTTGAATGTTCTTTACAATGTAGCTATGAATGGCTATTTATAGGCAAACATTTGTAAGAAAAAACTATCATATCCTTCCATCTCCCATATTTCACATTCTATGATCTTCCACTTCATTTCTATGTCTTCATAACTTTTTTTAACTTCCAATTTATGCTCCATGTTCTCCACTTTGTCCTCCATCATCTTTTCACATGTGTTTAATGATTCATAACTTCTAATAACCTCCAAAGGAGTAGCAGACTACCATATATCCTGCAATTATATAGATAATAACTAATAATAAAATTATTTATTTATGGTGCAATAGAAACTTATTAAAGTTTTGGCTTCGCTTAAACTCGATTCAATAAACTTACATATACAATAAAAAATTCAAGCTAATCAACTTTAGTTTATAATCAGTTTGATTAAAATTCATTTGAAATTAGTTTTAAAAAGTAAACAAATCAAATTTGAAAATATTTTGAAATTGTTAATTTTTCACATCAATCTTAAGCAACCCGTTACTCTACTCATTTATGGTCATATAATTTTGTAAATAAAAGCCAATTTTATAAGTTATTTGTTTTGAAACAATACTTTCTAAGAGGGTAATTTGTGTGGAGTGTGGGCCGAGCTATGACCGGGTAGAGATTGGGCCGAGCTGTGGGCCGAGGTAAATAGGTTTCGAGGCCGGACCCTATTAGCTCGGCCAAGAATGGTTACTGTTAGCTCAGTTTAAGTATTTTGGACCGAGCTAGGTGTTAATCATGAATGTGACGAGCTGAGTGTGTCCAAAGGCCAGAGATAGCTCGATTATTTTATCGTACTATCGTGGTAAGACCATCTCCATTGGATAAGCAGTGGGAATGGTGTAACAAGATAAGCCTTACCTTTCTAATTCCTAGGAGGGCTCTGCTAAGGAGAGTAGAGTCCTACTAGGATTGTGCAAACCATTTCACTTGGTTGGTAGTGAGTAGGGTGTGTGATTCCTAGAAGAATTCCGATAAGGAGAGTTGGAATCCTACTAGGACTGTGCCAAATAGAATCCATAAAAGCTCATGACCAGACCTCTGTACAAGTATCACAACTTTGATTCTTGAATACACAGAGATTCTATCTATTGTCTATTTTGCTAACTTAGGCATCGGAGAAGTATCTGGCACACACTCGCCGGCTAGCTCACATTTGTGTTTTCAGGAAGTAAAACGACGACGTTTGAAGGAGTA